CATAATAAGGAGCGAGCCCAAAACAGGTCAGAGGAAACCCAGCATGGCTGTGCTGTGAGAGTCCCAAGGGACCACCAACCACCCCATGAGGCTGGACACGCTGCTGGACAGACTGCAAACACCCACCAGACAATGCCCCATCCCAGCCAGGGCACAGGGAATGGATGGAGCCCTCCAGAGAGGAAAAGAGCCTCTCAAGTCCAACTGTGGTGCCCAGAACATCTCCACCACCCCTTCCCCATGCCCTGCTCTTCCCTCCCACAGGGGCTGGGGCTCTGCTGGGTGGGACAGACAGACAGACAAGCAGACCGTTAAGGGAGCCCTCGTAGCCAACTGTGTGCAGGGCTTCTCTGCTGCTGGCTGAGCTGCGAGGGGGTGTCCAGGGGTCTGCATAGGAGTTGGACCGAGCCTTCATTTCCTCCCTCAGGATCAGCCGGCCGATGCCGCTCTGGATCTGGGCAGGGGGGAAAGGCTGCTTCATACCCCATGTTGGGGAGGGCCAAGGGAAGCAGGGATGGTGGTGGCCCCTTCCTGGGTGAGCAGGGCTTCTCTGCTGCTGGCTGAGCTGCGAGGGGGTGTCCAGGGGTCTGCATAGGAGTTGGACCGAGCCTTCATTTCCTCCCTCAGGATCAGCCGGCCGATGCCGCTCTGGATCTGGGCAGGGGGGAAAGGCTGCTTCATACCCCATGTTGGGGAGGGCCAAGGGAAGCAGGGATGGTGGTGGCCCCTTCCTGGGTGATGAAGCTGGGCTGGGTCTCCTCCCCAAAGCCCACTGCCATGAGGACAGCTTGCTGCTGCCCGTCCCCTGCCAGGACATCACTCACCTTGTGCATGCCCCGGTCGTACCCGTCCTCCTCGCCTCCCGACGAGAACCTCCGGGCCCGGGGGGCTGCAAGGAGACACGTGGAGGGGTCAGATGGGGATGAATGGAGAGCAGGCAGAGAGCAGACAGTCCCCAGCTGCATGGGGACAACCGATTCCCAAATGCTAGCATTTTAGGGTCACTCTGGCACGTACCATGGCCCAACCCCACCTTCAGGTCCAGATCCAGCTTGAGGGCAGCTTTCTCCCAGAGAATGGCTGGGTTATGGGGAGGAATGGGTTCCACTTTCCCTCAGGTCAATGAGGGGCTGTTACCTTTGGGGGAGCTTTGGAAGGACCAGTACTCTGACTCGGAGTGGTAGTACGGGTCCGGGGAGTAGGCAGGGCTGTACTTGGATGACTGTGCAATGTCTTCGCTGGTTTTGCTTTTCGTGGCTGCAGAGGGGTTGTCTGCAATAGGAGCACGAAGAGCTACAATGAGGACCTTGAGTCCTGCTGGCAGGACTTGGAAAGATCCACCCTGGGATGAAGGCAAATCCTGTTCCCTCCCCTCTCCCCCACGGATACCAGCAATTTATGTCTGGGATAGCACAGAGCAGAGCTGGGAATAATCCATGTTCAAATTGCTGACACCTCGGGGAGACAAGGGTGCAGAGGCAGACAGTGGGGAAGGTGACAAGCAGAGGGGCTGTCACTGATGTGGCTGGGAAGGGACCTGAATAGCTCTTATCCTACAGCACCACAGCAAGCTCTGGCTCTTGCATAGTGCCCACCCCAGCCCCAGTACCACCAGTGCCACCAGCCTCCCCATGGCTGTCCCATCACCCAGAGGGCTATAACCACACAGGCAGGAGGGGACGGGGGAAGGTCCAGTGCAGCAGGGAAAGGGCTCTCGGTGGGTTACTGCCAGGGGAAGGCAGCAGCGGGCTGTGCAGTGGTGGGGAGCAGAGGGGTGACCCCAGCAGCTCTGGCCCCATGGCAGGGTCACACACAGAGCTCTGCTGGGGTCTGAGCTTGAGAAACCCAAGGGTGAGCCCTGCTCCCTTCCCCCAGTGCAGGAGCCTTGCAGGGAAGGAGTACCAAGGCCAGCAATGTGGCAGCATGATCCCACCACCTCAAGCGGGCACAGAGGACCCTGCCAACGGCAGCTACTTACAGCAGTGGGTGCAGCCAGCAGCAGGGCAGTGGGAGTTGGGCAGGAGGGAAGGGAGAGCCCAGGGAGAAAGAGGAGACACAGAGAAGTTACTGCTTGGTGGGAGCTGCTGCCCCTCTACACACACAAGCAAGCAGGGACAGTGCAAGCCAGCCCTGCTGAGACACAAACCACCACGGTTCCCACCCCTCAACACCCTCCAGGCCTGTTTCACCCTGGAGCATCCAACCAGGATAAGCCGTGATTTTTCTCCATGGCTCCGTGTCAAACTGCAGATTACCTTCTTCATCCTGTTCCCAAGGCTACTGTGGCTCCTGGGATCAGCAAGTAATGGCCACCCTTGTCCCTCCTGGGGGCAAGGCACTCTCTGCCACCCCTCCACAACCTCATTCCCCCTCCCACAGCTATCCCTGGTCTCAGTCCCAATGACAGCCTCCATCCCTCACAACAAGGACGTGATCCAAAGCTGACTTTTTCTCCCACTGAGCCCTGCACTCTGCTGCCTGGAGAGGAAGCAGGAGCACCAGCTCACCTGGTCACCACCCCAACATCTCACACCTTGATGCCTGCTCCCATGTCCTACCCTGCCCCTAAAGGCCATTCAGACAGTCCAAGCCCTGTGCTGGTACCCTGCCTGTGTCCCGAGCCCAGCGCATGGCACACAGACCATACATACCATGGCGCTTATAGATGGGGGGCTTCCGGTATATGTTGCTCTCACCGGCAGCTGGGAGAGGAAAGAAAGAAAGGGAAGAAAGAGGAAAGAAGGGAGGAAGGGGAGGTCAGTGTGGGTACGCTGAGTGCAGACGGGATAGAGGTCCTGCAGGAGATGCTACCCACACCACGTTTCCATCACACAACCACCTCTGGCTCCACGCATCCCATGGGAGCCCAGTACCGGGCCAGAGCCAGGTGGGCTGCAGGATGAGCAGCAGGAGCATGGTCCCGGGGCTGCTCTCGGACACGGTGGACACCAGGACATGCAGTGAACACCCCAGCATCAGCATGCACCACCAGCCCCGGGAGCGGCACAGCCAGGAGCCACCGGCTGCTCACACAACCACCTCTGGCTCCACGCATCCCATGGGAGCCCAGTACCGGGCCAGAGCCAGGTGGGCTGCAGGATGAGCAGCAGGAGCATGGTCCCGGGGCTGCTCTCGGACACGGTGGACACCAGGACATGCAGTGAACACCCCAGCATCAGCATGCACCACCAGCCCCGGGAGCGGCACAGCCAGGAGCCACCGGCTGCGCTACCACATCAGCCAAAGCCTCTTTCCACAGCAGAGAGAGAAAAGAGCGAGCCGGGAGGGAAAGCGAACTGGAGCCTGGCGCCAAGAGCTACAGCCCCTGCGCAGGGGCCAGGCAGCGGAGCAGGGACGGGGCCATCCATAAACCACCGACCGGCAGCGGGACCGAACCCTGCCAGGGATGGGGCAGGAGCAGGGGACCACGGTGGGGAATCCTCTGAGTGTCCTCATGGTGCTGTCCCAGGGCATCAGCTCTACATCATGGAGGAGGACAAGGGCAGCAGGAGACGCTCCAGCTGAGCAGGGTGTTGTGGGGCTCTGGCCCCCCTGCGCATGCTGAAGGATGGATGGGCAGCTGCCTGCTTCCCTCCCCGCTTTCCCTTTCTGCCCGCTCCGTCCCCATCCCCATGGGCTCTGCATGGCCGGGAGCGGGTGGTGGCCCTTACCTGGTGGCCCCCTGCAATCCCTGCAGAAGGGGAGCAGGCATCTGGCAAGCCCAGAAGACTCTGGGGGGAGGGAGCGGCAGGCCCTATGGGGAGTATAAAATAGTCATCTGTAGCGGATGGGTGTGGAAAGGCCTCCGGAGACACGCTTCGGCTCGTGATCCTGGGAGGGGAGGCAGGGGAAGGGGCAGGCTCTCTGCAAGGGACTCAGTGGAGGAAGATAAAGGAAAAGGGGTAAGAGGGACATTGCAAGGATCAAGCAGACTCTGGGCAGCTCTGGGACATCCAGGTGGTGATGGGGAGGAAGGAGGGTTCAAGCTGCAGGTCCTGTTTATGGATGGCCTCTACCAGGGGTAGATCCTGCTGCCAGCTGGCTCTAGGCAGGCGGCGGAGCTACGCATGCAACACAGCAGGGACGGCACATGCTGGCATGCCACAGAGGGACATTGCAAGGATCAAGCAGACTCTGGGCAGCTCTGGGACATCCAGGTGGTGATGGGGAGGAAGGAGGGTTCAAGCTGCAGGTCCTGTTTATGGATGGCCTCTACCAGGGGTAGATCCTGCTGCCAGCTGGCTCTAGGCAGGCGGCGGAGCTACGCATGCAACACAGCAGGGACGGCACATGCTGGCATGCCACAGACACGGCACTTCCCCAGGGGCTGGGGCGCTCCAGAGCCTACCTGGGATGTGGAAATGCTTGGGTGCTTGGTATGAGGTTGGAGTGGAGGACCTCACATCTAACTGGCTATAGTAGGGGGAGCTGCGCCCGCTCTCAGTGCCTATGCGGTGCCGAGCAGAAGCAGCCATAAGTGACCGAGAGAGAGAACAAGAGGCAGAAGAAAACGGGTGTTAAACGCAGCGGTGTTAGAAGAGCCATGTGGTGGTGGGGACGTGTGCCAGGCCGTGGTCCAGAATGGGGCGTGATGGAGCAGAGGGAGATTTCCCGCATCTCCAGAGGAAGCGGGATGCAGAGGAAACCCTGTATGTGGGTGCTGTGCAGGGCTGCCCTGCTGCTGACAGAGGAAAGCTGAGCGTGCTGCAGAGGCAAACAGTGACAGGCCCTTGGCAGTGCAGCGCAGAGAATGCAGGACCTCTGGACTTACTGACCTTGGATTTTCCCAGTTGTTCTTCCCTGGCTCCAAAGGACAGGAGACATGGACCAGACACACTCTGCTTCCCCCTGACATGCTCCAGGGCATGCACACATTTGTACGTGTGTATGTATGTGTGTAAGGACCTGCCTTACAGCACTGACTGGGCGCAAGCGCTCTCATGCACACCTCTCCCAGAGCTAACAAGCCAGCCAAGGGGTCTTCACTGGATCTGGGGCTCACCACCCTTCCATCCTCCATGGGCCCCAGCTCAGGTCTGAGCCAGGACAAAACCCCCTTGGCCTCTTCTCGCTGCTCACAAGACAACAGTCAGGGGAGGCAGAGGATGCACTCAGCAGAGCTGGTCACTGACCTACAGCTCCTGTTGTTGTCAGCCCCCCATGGACACACCAGGCCTCCTGCCCGCTTGCCAGAGAAGGGACCACGGAGATCCCCTGGGTTTGCAGGGGACAGTTTGGTGATCACCGCTCCACTTGGGGGTCTGAGCTCAGCCCAGCCTGGGGTTGCAGCTGAAGTTCTCACCTGAGCGGTAGAAATGGTGTGGGGACCTCGGGATGGTGGGGGACATGCCCTGGCGGCTGTAGGTGGGGGAGTCGATGTAGCCAGGGCTGGAGGCTCGCCTCTGCCGCATGTCAAAGCTCTCATAGATGTCCTAGGGACCAGGAAACGCATGGAGAGAGCAGGGTTAGAGCTGGCGGGATGAGGGACGAGGCAGATCCACTCTGCCAGGGAGGGCTTGCACGCTGCTCTCCCCGGGGCCTGAAGGACAGGACCCTTCTGGACCCTGTCTCTCCACCTCCACCCAGGCAGGGGGATGTTCAGCAGAGCCCAGAGGTCCCTGGGCAGAGGGACACGCTGCAGCAGCTGCAGGTGACAGACCCCACAGTGCCTGCTGGGGCATTACCTGTGAGTACGGGGAGAGGGTCCCCAGGGACTGGAGGTGGCAGGAGGCAGAGAGGAGGGGAAGAGAAAGAGAGAGACAGCACATGGTTAAAGGCAGCAGCGACAGACTAGGGTCCATGTTACAACCTCATTACAGGTAGTGAGGGCGGCTGGCGGCACAGCTGGAGCTGACAGGAGGGGAGCTGATGAGAGGATGGAACCTCCCGGATCAGCAGCCTGCCTCCCTGCTCAGAGACCTCGGTGGAGCAGCTGCAAGGGGAGAGAAGGTGGCTGCTGGTGCCACGGTGCTACACAGCAGGCCATGGCCATACTGCCTGCACCATCATTGGTGAACTGGAGGAAACCACACTTGTGACAAGCTTTCAGATGGAGACACAAGAGATGCTGCTGCTGGCCACTGCAAAGTCCTCTTCCAGGTCCTCATCTCTGTGTGAGCTGCTCAGACCTTCTCCTTCCACAGACTTTCTGAAATCACCCATCAATCCCAGCCTGCCTGGGGGAGAGGGGCAATCCTGTCCCATGTGCTGCCTGAGCATCATCTCATCACATGCTTACAAAACACACTGACCAAGCCCCCTTCCCCTGGCTCCAGGGCCAGCACCCAACAGGGGCAGCCCTGCATGTTCCAGAGACACTGTGCTGGGGCTGGGCGGCCAGGAGGATCCACTTCCAGGGCCAGGCTCTGGGCAGAGCCTGCTGTTCTCTGTCCCTCCATCCCAGAGGGATGCACGTGTGCTGCATGCCCTCCTCCTCTCCTGCTGCAGGCTGCCACATCACTCCTGAGGGTGACAACACCTCCTGCACAGCACTACCTGTACCTGCACACTGGGTCTGCAGCACATGGCCATCAGCTGATAACGACACTGGTTTCTTCCTTACTCTATAGTAGCAATGTAAAGATTACCCTTCCGGCCCTCTTCCCAGTGATGGGGAGCCTCTGGGAGAGGTCTTACCCCACCTCTTGCCTCCCTGCAGTATTCCCAGTGGAGTGAGTGAACCCACATGCAGTTCTCCCCATCGCCCTGAATCGGGGCCCGGCTCCCTGCAGAGCTGGTGTATCGAGGCTCAGTACCTCCCCATAGCTATATCTCTCCAGTGTCTCATCCGACGTGTATCTGTGATAGGGCTCGTAGGAAATGAGGTCAGGACGCTGCACTTCATAGATGGCTTTAATCTTGGGAAGAGCTGCCAGGTCTTTGTAATTAAGGATCTCATTATCCACTTTAGCCTAGGGAGAGGGAGAGACAGAGACAGAAAGGAAGAGGAGGAGGGAAGAAAGGGGAGGCTGGAGCACACAGTATGGAACCAGCACAGAGCAGACAGAGCCCACCGACACCCCAGCAGAAGGAAGAGGTAAGAGGAGATGCTTGAGAGGCAGCAAGTGGGAAGGAGCAGAGGAGCTTGAGTGTGGGAACTGTGCCCCTCTGAGCGCTCCTGGTGTGTGCCAACAGCCCTGGCAGCATGGCATGATGCTGCAGAGAGGGGACATGGCTTGTCCCTGCTGTCCCCACATGCTCGGCACACTTCACACTGCATAGCAGCACTGGGAACTAATGCTCTCTTCCCTGGGGCTGGAGCATCCATCCTGCCCCATGCAGATGGGCAGACTGCACTTACACAGATGACACGGTTTGGGGAGCCGATGCTGGAACCAGGGGGCGAGATGGAGGTTTCTGATGTCCTTCTGTGCTGTGGAGGCAGAAAAGCAGAGGACAGATGAGAGCACGACAAGGAGGGACCTCTGCACAGGCACAGTGCGGGGTGCAGTGAGCAAATGGTTGGTTTTGGAGCTGAATTTCACTTGAGGTCCAGTTCCTCTGCCCTTTTATCTGCTTGCTGCCCACGGCCACTGCAGGTTGCCCTGCTATCCAGCTCTGTGCCCTGGCCTCTCTAGGGCCAAATCCAGAGTCAGGAGAGTGTCCTGGCATGATCCAGCAGGCAGTTGTCCCCATGTCCAGAGGGCACAGAGATGGAGCAACAGCTTGAGGGGTGCTGTGGCATGGGACCAGCCAGGAGGCAGGTCCCTACTAACAGCCTAAGCCAGCCTCTTGACATTGGTCGTGCCAGCCTCAGAAGCCAGCCCAGGCTTGGACAATGCCACAACAGTTCACCTCCAGCAAGGACTCAGGGGCAACATCACCTGCGAGGTGCCACCTATGGGAGATGCCCCTCACCCTGGTGCTTACCTTTAGCTTCTTCTCCGCTCTGGCTGCCTGCTTGCAGATGGGGTGCCACACTTCCGAGCCTGCAACACAGCAAAGAGAAAAGCGTTTCAGCTCCATGCACAGCTGAGCTCCGCTGTCAGGGATCCTCCTGCTGCCATAGGGGAGACCCATCCTGTCCTGCCACCTCCAGCACTGACCCGCAGCCTGTGGTCCCCCTGTCCCCAGCAGCAGCTGCACTGCAGCTACAGGTTGCGCTCCTGTAACCGGTGTAACCACAGGAATGTGCCTGTTGGAAAGATGAAATGAAACAACTCCCAAGCACCGAGATGTAGTGGCCAGCACTACTAACCTGTGACAGCAAACCAGGGGTGCTTTTGGCACAGCCCCAGCGCTCAGCCAGGCTGCTCCTGAAGGTTAAACTTGGAATAACACTGAGCCTGAAGCATCCAGTTCCCTCAGAGCTGGAACTAGCAAAGCCACCAAGCCTTAGGATGGATGCTGAGCACACCCATCCTGCTGCCCATGATAGGGACGTGCTGGGACCCCCATTCGGGTGCTCTCAGTGCACAACTGCCCCTTTGCCACCCTTGGGATCATTAGCGACTCAGGGTGACAGGCAAGCACAGGTTACAGGTTATGAGCAAAACCAAACCCTCCCTTTGCTCTGGAAATATGCCCTAAGGCAGCTCCTTAAGGGATGAGCTCCTGGAGAAAACAACCCCACACCATTCAGCTGTGGCCAGCAAAAGCCTTTCCCCTCCAGTGCTGCTCTCAGTGTAACCTGGGCAGGTTGGGGCAGTGGAGAAGGGCAGTGATCTCCATAAGGACTCAAATCCCAAATGCCCCGGCAAACAGCACACCCCCCCAAGCCATGCTGGTCCATGCAGGGCAGGGGATTCCCTCCTCACCGCAGCGGGATCCCTACCTGTGAGGTACATCTCCTCTCCTTCCGTGAACATCTGGTGGCAGCGGACACATCTGGCGCAGGTAGGGTGGTAGTGCTTCCCTCCTGCCTGCAAGGGCGAGCAGAGAACAGGGGCTCCTGATCAAGGCAGGACATGGTGACCTGCTCACATCCCTAAGGGCCACTGGCCCTGCCATCACTGCAGCAGACAATGACACAGTGAATGGGGGGGATGACAAAACTGCCCAGGGTGGCCTCAGGGACCAGCACAACACATGGAGAAAACCACAGACTGCTTCATCCCTAATGCTTCTGACCTGCTGGACTACAAGGCAACCTGCTGCTCTCCTTGAGCCATCCAACACACAGGAAAACACAGCCAGGAGGTCCCAAACCCCCAAGGAGGTCCCCCTGCAAGCCTCACCCCTAATAAACTGTCCTTGCACTCTGGAAATAACAGAGACCCTCTGCAGTAACACTCAGCCAAGCAAACATGCTCCTTCCCTCTAAGCTTTGCAGAGAAACAGCAGTTTTGTCCCAGGATGTCACAGCAGGGAAGCAGCAAAGGGAGAAGGACCCCAAAGATGAACCTCACAAAACTTTCAGACCCTCCCTGGCTGCCATTGCCAGCCCCTCTCCATCAAGAAACTTTTCTCCTTCCATGAAGCCATGCACAGACTTGAGCACTAGGGACATGCTATTCCCCAGCTGAGCCGGAGTCGGGCTGCTCCCTTTGCTCTTTGGCAGGGATAATAGCTTTAATTGGTAGCTTGTTTCCACTCAAAGTGCCTGCCTGCACTTCAATTACAGGCTCGTTTTCTGGGCTGGGAGGCAGGAGCTGGCTCAAGGCAGGAGGAATCTGGGCTGTGCTGTCAGAGCTCAACCCCAAAGCACATTTTACTCCCATAATAATCCAGAAGAAGAGGAATGATGATTTAAGGCAGCAGAGGGAAGATGAGGCTCTTGCTGACAAAGGCGGTTATGATAGAAGGGGCTGGAGCTGGTCTGAAACATGAGGATCAACAGGAAAATTTGCTGTGAGAATAACTGGGAATCTGCCAGTTGATAGCCCATAAAAATCAACCTGGAATTGAATGTCCCTTGGGTGCAGATGGCAGCCAGCAGCTTTCCCCCCTCCAGTTTATGCCAAAATAGAGTGGAAGGTTCTAGGTAGGGCAGGCAGGGGAGATGAGTGGGAGAGTTCAGACCCATTGCAGTGCAACCCAATCTGGAGAAGGGGTAGCCCCGTGCCCAGGCATCTCCCTGTGCCAGCTGCAGCAGCACAACTACTGGGCTGGCCTGGCTGAACTCACAACCCAAACATCCCCAATTCACTCCCAAGAGCTTGATGACACAGCAGAGTCACTGGTGGGAGGGCTGCAGAGACAGACCCATGTGAATGCAGAGGACCAGAGATGTCACCCACCACACTGCCGAGGCAGAGGCACCCTAAGGACAAGCTGTTCCTTCTGCTTTGCCCTGTGCACAGAGCCCTGCCTGAAGCTGCCCACCGCAGCACACACAGGCACCCATCAGCCCATGCTGTGCACCCACGGCAGGCACTAAGCTGAATCAACAGGAGATGGCTGG